CATTGAAATTAACCAATATGGTTAAGTTAAAAAATGATTACCATAACTGCCTGTTATTTTCAGCAAAAGCCTACAAATGCATCTGTGATACCGTGAAGTAAAATGGATAAAAAGGTTGGCTCCTTTTAGTCATTATAAAATGTTAAATTTAAAACTTAATTACTTTTTGAGGATTCAATAAAAATTCAAAGCTAGACTCCCTAAGTACACTTTCTGATAAGCAGAGTTAACTGGGATATTAACAAATCCAAACCAAGTTTGAAAATTTCCATACACCTTGTCCATGATACTAACCTGTACCTCTGAAAATCTCCATGCCGTAAACCATGCTGCTGCTGGGATTCCTTAATGATCTGAAGAACTAGAGCCAAGATTAAGGAAAAGCTTACGATGGCAGGAATCCAAATAATTCAAAACTTGTCCCTGTTAGTGTCTATTCCTATCACATTTAACATTTCTGCAATACTTACATCAACTAGTGAAATTTCTTGTAAACATTTTCAGTAGTCAACTTGTCATGGGACAGGGCTAAGCATGTAGAAAATGGGATTGCCTGAGCTGTTAATATTGTCAGACAAAAAAAGGAGAACAGTATTAGCCATTTTGGACTGCTGAAACTCAACAGCTAAAATAAAGCCGCTAGATTCTAAAAGTTGGTGAAACCAAGGTGGATACCGATGATTTAAACCTGGACCCAGCATTTTACTCACTCAAGCCAATTCAGGTTACAAATGACATGTACTACACCTCTATTTGCATAATCTCCTACAACTCCCAAGTCTAACTTTCCTTAACAGCTGTGCGGCTGCAGGAGACTATGGTTAGCACGTCAGCCAAGCTAAAAATTGCATAAAAATATTATACTCAAGTTTTTCCTTTTAAAAGAACCCCTGAACACACTCTCCTTTTTTAAGATTTATCAAACTTAGGAAGTCCAATGACTTTCATCTACAATTTTAGTTTTCTCAATGCTTCTCTATACATGTATTTTTAAATAGTGAACACTAAGAGGCCTATTCCAGTAACTAAAAAGAGACAAGAACATACATGCTTGCTAGTACAATCAAGGCATTTTGACACTCATTTGGAACTATACCACCAATTCAAAAAGTAAAATTCTACACCTAAAATACAGTGAACTTTTTAAAAACAGGAAAACGCTAAACCTCTGAAAATTTAACTACTTTAAGATGTCAAGCTAAACGTGTTATTTCAGAAATTCACCTACACTTTCTCCATCTGTTAGTCATTTCAAAAAGCTACAGCCGAGTGTCACAGGCACTCAGTTGAGATACCCGTTAATGAAAACTAGAATCTGATTCCTCCAGCTCATCTGAATAACTCCCAACAAAATAAACTACCTACATTAGGATCTGCATGATAATTTATATTCAAAATAGGCAACAAGCGTTTCCTCAAAGCAGTCAACCTTTGCCTCCACGTACACGGCATCAAGCTGTAATTTTCACTATCCCGTCTACGATGGCTGTCAGACAAAAGCATAAGTTGAAACACCAAGACTGCAGTTTTCTCTCCCCAGCTCGGTGGCTCAAGATGCCAAGGCAGGAGCTCAGCAGGGTGGCCGGAGTGTCATCCCCGTCACAAGCCCTCCAACTGGGCAACTAGAAAACCTACTGAATATCCTCGTGCCGCCTGAAAGAAAATGGCATTCCTCAGCCTGGAGGGCGAGGGGGATGCGAGAAAAGGCCAATCGGAAAGCAGACCCTGAAACTCTGATAACGAAACTGCAACCCTCCGCCTCTTCTACCCAGGACGTGTCAGGACCCGCCGCCTCTCCCACCCCCGGCCCGCCAGATGGACACGTAGTCATTGCGTGTTAGGCCAGACTCTTCTAGGATACTCTCCAAACTCAGGCTATCCCCGAATTCTTTGTTTGCCTTTGATCCTGCTGAAGGCCGTTCGTTTTCTTTATTTTCCTCTCCACCGGCACCACGTCCACCGCCGCTGCCGCCGCTACCGCCACCACCGCTACCGCCAGGGACCTGTTTCTCAGCAGCCATCTTGCCCTGAGTCGCAGAGCAAGACGGGATAGAGGAGGCGGGGCGACTGAGGGCTCGAGAGAGCAGGCCTGCCCGGACGGAATGACGGGATAGCGGCGGACTTCGCCTTCGGCGGCCCGTCCCGCCGGCGGGAGCCATTTGTAGAGGTGTGCCTGCGTGTGGCCTTGGCTCTCCAGGCCCCTAATCCGGTTGGGCTAGGTGCGGAGGCTTGCGGGCGCCTGGAGACCGTCGCTGCTGAGATCTTCTCAACGGCCGTCCCCATCTCCCGTTTAACAAGGGCTGGAGGACACGTAGATGGGGACCCCCACCTCCTGCATCTCAGTTTAGGGGATCCAGCTCACGTTCTGCGCTGAGGGGGCGAGGCGGGGGTGGGGGAGTGGGCCAAGAACCTTGGACTTTGGGTGCCCTTAACTCCTCGTGGACTCAAGAGATGGGGCTTCCCCTCCAGCGGAACTAAGCACATGCCGCCTATGAGGGAACCTCGCTGTCTATGTTTGAAACAGATGGCCCGAGGAATTGCTGGCTTCAATCATCAGCGTCCGGATGTGGGGACTTTCTTAGATTGCTTCGGACCTGTAGCTTTCTCTGGACTTTGGAGCAGGCCGTCCACGTACGGGGAAGTGTTGAGGCGAGGGAGAATATGAATCTTTGCTCGGAAAAGGGCACTGAGGGCTCTGAAGTCTGGTCCTGGGCTCCAATACCGGCTCCACCACTACTGGTTGTGAGATATTGGGCAAATAACTTCATCTCCCTGCAGTCGGGTTCCTCCTCTGTGAATTGTGGATAACCAATTAAAACAGTTGTCATAAAGGTGAAATGACGTAACTCATGTTTAAAGTCCCATTGCCTTCAAGTGGATTCAAACTCTTAGTGACCCTGTCTTAGGCTGGGTTCTCTAGGGGAGCAAAACCAGTGGAGTGTATGTGTGTGTATATATATATATATATATGTATACATGTGTATGTATACATACATACATATAAACAAAGAAACCAAGCCAGTTGCCTTCCAGTCAGTTCGGATTCACAGCAAACCTATAGGACAGAGTAGAACTGCCCCATCGGGTTTCCAAGGAGCAGCTGGCGGATTGGAACTGCCAAACTTTTTGTTAGCAGCTGAGCTCTTAACCACCGTGCCACCAGGGCTCCATATATAAATATATAGAGGTTTATTTCAAGGAACTGGCTCAGGCAGTTGTGGAGGCTGGCAAGTCCCAAATCCGTGGGTCAGGCATCAGGTAGGAGGCTTCTCCTGACTCACTTGGTTAAAGGAGCTGACGAGCGCAAAATTGGCAAGTCAGGCAGTAGGCTGCTGGCTCACTGGGTTGCAGGAGCTGGTGAAATCCAAAAATCTGCGGGTCAGGCAGCAGGCTGCCATCTCACGTCCTAAGAACCAGAGGTCAGGGGATGACGAGTCAGATGCAGGATCCAGAGAGAAGAGCTTTACCAGAACATCCATATATATATTGGATGCAGGCCACACCCCCAAGGAAACTGTCCTTTCAACTGATTGGCTGCTCACATCAGATGACAGAATGGAAGATGACTACATAAATCAGCCATACCACTGAGAATCATGGCCTAGCCAAGTTGACACATGACCTCAACCATCACAGTGCACCCCTTGTCAACTTGGCAGCTGTACACATTTCCTTAAACTATACATGATCTCTAAATAAAGACAATTATAAAGTCATACTTGTGCCTAACAGGATACAACTAACATGGGTACGATAGAAAATGCACTAGTCCTGTTTGTATCTTTTATTTTATAATAAGTAATGGAGTAAGGGAAGGCATATCTCAACATGCCCCACATCACTGGACCCCTAGAAATTTCACTGAAGTGGAAGGCACTTGAATTTTTGTCAGATCTATTTCCCACCCTCCAGCATGCAAATGTCTTACCAATAAGTCTAGAGTCATTGATACTTCTTACTTACTAGGTCCAATGAGCATAATGTCATCCGTGTAATGGACCAGTGTGGCATCTGTGGAAGAGAAAGGTGATCAAGGTCCCTGCAGGGTAAACTATGACATAGGGCTGGAGAGTTGATATACCTCTGAGGTAGGACAGTGAAGGTGTATTGCTGGCCTTGCCAGCTGAAGGCAAACTGCTTCTGGTGGTCTTTCAAAACCGGTATGGAGAAAAAGGCATTGGCCAGGTCAATAGCTGCATACCAGGTGCCAGGAAATGTATTAATTTGCTCCAGCAATGAAATCACATCTGGAACAACAGCTGCAATTGGAATCACACCTGGTTAAGTTTACAATAATTTGCTATCAAATTAGACTGCTATTCACGTGATCTAGAATTCTTCCGCTTGTACACATCAAGAAAATATTTAGTAAATTACCCATCTATTTCACTCCTAGGGACACTATGACCAACGCCATAAGTCCATACAATTCAGACTACTCAGATTACTGTTTTGACTCCGTTGTCCATTATGGTAACCACGCCCACCCTGTCTCTGTTGATTGAATGCCGCCACTTAGCCCCTACCACCATGGGGTCCAATCATGCCCATTGTAGTTAGTTGTCTTAATTCAGTTAGGGCAGCTCCCTTGTCAAGTCTGACTTACATAAAATAGTAATCACGGCAGTCTTCAAGGATACTGGGGGTCCCTTCACAAATTCGTTGCTCACTGTTGTCGTGAAAAGTATGTCCTCTGGGCACTCCATGAGTGGGTCTGTGGGTCCAACTTGATAAATCCACTGTAACGTGCCAATTTCCCTAAGCCTTTGGATACCTTCTACAGTATACCAAGGCAGGTCTGGCATTTCAACTTGATTTAGTGTAGACCACTACTTAACCCATGCTGCAGAGAACCAACCAAATAAACTATTAGATCCTTTTCTAACCTCTCAAACTAAAATATTGAATGAAGAATCTGTGCTTAGTGGGCCCATGTCAATTTACTCAGACTAACCCAACTTGAAGTTCCTTGCACCATTATCCCACACCCTTAATGTTCATTCCCACACATATTCTGTTTATATATATTAGAAAAATCAAGCAGTTCTTTTGGAGTGTAACATACCTCCTCATGGGTCACTCTTTGTACTTCACCTCTTGGGGCTCACTGGGACTTAAGTCTAGTTATAGGTCTAGAAGCAAAACTCGGTGGTGGCGGAGGGTCCTGGCGATCTTCAACAATGTCTTACAAGGCATCTGTCTCAGGCTATGCCCCAGGTGCTGCCCCAGGCAATATCTCAGACAAAGACACTTCAGATATAGCTAGGTTAATCTCATCAGATGCGGATGGAAGAGATAATGGTTTTATTGGGGAGGGTTGTTTAGCAGACAAAGATGGAGTCACGTCTTCAGCTGGGAGTAAGAGAGCTGGTTCTTTTGGCAGGGGTGATTCAATGGAATATAGGGGCTCAATGTCCCCAGTTTCATGATTATCTGAACGTATGTCCCCATCCCAAGTTTCAGGATCCCATTTCTTCCCAATCAACGTCTTCACTTCAGACACCATTCAAGGTTGGGAATTCAATTTTGACGTTGTAATTCAGACACTCTTACAGTAAGACTATGGGTTTGGTTTTTGGCAATATCTGCTCTGTTACTACAAGAAATAAGGCTTTCTTTCAGGGCACAAGTGGCAACTTCCAGGCTTTTTTAAATTTTTTAAAATTTTATTGTTGTACTTTAAGTGAAAGTTTACAATTCAAGTTAGTCTCGTCTCCCATACAAAAATTTATGCATGCATTGTTATGTGACTCTAATTGCTCTCCCTATACTGTGACAGCACACTCCTCCTTTCCACCCCTGATTTCTCGTGTCCATTCAACCAGCTCCTGATCCTCTCTGCCTTCTCATCTCACCTCCAAACAGGAGCTACCCATTTAGAACTTTCAGGTTTTTTATGCAGTGCTTGAGTTGGACTCTGAAGCCTTGAGCTCATCCCTTTCTTTCACCACTATGTCTAGCGAAAGTAGGACCAACCAACAAGCTTCCTTATACTTCTCAGTCTGACAAAATTGTACAAAAGTATCAAATATGCAATCACCCAGAGCCTTGTCTCTCACAAATACTTTTTCCAATGGTGGTGATATTTTTCTTATTTCTATTGCCCCCTCATGTCATGGATTAGCAATGCCCTCTTCACTACTGAAGGCAGAGTCGTCATCAGCTGTGGAGGCTGGGAAGTCCCAAATCTGTGGGTCAGGCATCAGACTGGAGGCTTCTCCTGACTCATGTGGTTGCAGAGGCTGATGAATCCAAAATCAGCAGGTCAGGCGACAGGTTGCTGGCTCATGGGGTTGCGGGAGCTGGTAAATCCCAAAATCTGCAGGTCAGGCAGCAGATTGTTGGCTCACGTTCCAAGAACCAGAGGTCAGAGGATGACGAGTCAGATGCAGGATCTACCAAAGTAAGCCTGGGCTTACTGTGCTTACCTTGCATACTGAGTCATCTGCCCCTGTCAGGGATTGTAAATCTGAAAAGAGGCTTTGATTCCGTAGGATGGTATGGTAGGGTTGAGAGAGGGACAGATGCCAGCCTTACCTAGAAATAGAATCTTCCATGAAGTGAAAAAATGTGAAATTGTTCAGTACATATTAGTAAGTAAGCACAAATAAGCTCGTGCTTACCTTGCTTATTGGATAATCCGTCCCTGCTAACAAAAACAACATATCCATACCCAAAAAATAAACACCAAACCCATTGCCGCCTAGTCAATGCTGAATGACTGCGACCCTGTGTGTTACAGAGTAGAACTGCTCCATAGGGTTTCTTGGCTATAATCTTATGGAGGCAGATCTCCAGGACTTTCTTCTGTGGCACCGCTGGGCGAGTTCAAACTGCCAAGCTTTATGTTAGTAGTCCAGTGCAAACCATTTATGCCACCCAGGGACCTGTATATCCATACAATGTAATATTATTCAGTAATAAAAAAGGAGTGAAGTTCTGATACATCCTACATGGACAAACCCTGAGAACATTACGTTACGTGAAAGAAGCCAGACACACACACGCATACACACACACG